TGCTCGTTTCTTCTCAATGTGTACCCAGTATAGTGCCATCTTCTTTGTCTTATAACTGTTGATGCTAGTGGTTGCCCAGGCATTTACATTGTTTTTTCGCAAGGAAATACCTTTTAAAGTTCAACCTTTTCCTATGAACGCCATACAATATTTTGCTCTTTGATTAAAACAAAATTGCCTACTAGAAAAAGATCATGGAAACTAAAGCCGACCTCTCTATGTTGACAGCACTGCCCTTAATTAGTCGTCCCTATATGGAATGCAATTTTTTTGTTTTTTGAAGCCCCACCCTGGATTTTGACGGGGTCCTAAAATAGCATATCTATAAATATAGCCTAACGGCTGAACTTGGTTTCTGGGACCTCTCCACTGGGGATCCGCATCCACATGGTGGCACTTTGTGTCACCGAGTGTTTATCGCTTTGTGTGATGTTCTGGTGGGGCACAACTTAACATTCTTACATACAGCATCACCCATCGCGTGTTGACTGGTCTGTTAAAATATGGATCTGCCAAATGAACTATATGCTCATGCGGGATCCTTTTCTCACACTATGTAAAAAACTGGGTATTTAGTTCACAGTTCGTTACCATGAAAGTTTTTTTTAAAGTCCTTAGCAGTATTAGACTACATTTAACCAAAATAGGAAAACAATGTTTATAACAGCTGGTTGATATATTACAACCCTGTGATCTCATTAGGAAGAGCCGAGTTCATATTCTTGGTGAGGTGATTAAACGTTACTTTTATTGCAAGGACACAAAAATGAATCATAGCTCTTAAACTTTGTTCCGACTGCACCAGATATAAGGCCCCAAATTCCCAGGCTCAGTATCCTCTAACAGGGGGGGGGGGGGGCTGAGTGATTTCGAGGCATGGCGTCCGCCTCGAGTGCTGGAGGTCCCGGTTAAAGCCCCAGTGAAGGCTGGATTTGTTCACGTGGATTTCTGGTATGTTTCCTTATCTCTGGGTAGTAAGATCGTACTCCCGTGTGTATTTTTACGTCAAAAATTCCCTTGGCAATTGGGAATCGAAAAGAGTAGCCGAACAGAGCTGTCCGGGCAAAATGTTGAGTTAAAAATCTACCCAAAATAGTTCGAGATCCTGGCCGGTGCTACAAAGTTCGTGCACTGCGCTGAAAGACTTAAGACTCAGACTTCTGTAAGAAATAAACCAGAAAACTTATAGGTTACTACTCTTGTGCCATGATGTTGATTTGTTGTAAAAACCAAACCAACCCATCTATGTAACACAACCTTAAAGTGGTAAAAAAGTCAGTTTTATTTCCAATTAATTTTGTTTTTCAATCGAAAACTTTTTTCTCTTTTTTCGATTTCACAGGCTGTAAACGGAAAGTTCTGAGTATTCATCCACCTCTGCACTTTAATCTTGCTCTAGAACATGAATGTTTCGTCCACATCCGTTTCACAGAACCTGCTTATTTGTATGCAGACTCTTGGTTCCTTGCCTCTCAGGCAGATGTACCGCGACTTCGAAGGGCGCCCTGAATAAGTCAACTTCTACTACAGGGCTATTGGGGAGGCAATAAGTCTTTTCCTGTTTTCTCCACAACAGTACCCCGGAACCCATACGGGAGAATCGAAAACAATACATGTCTATCCAGACACAAGTTGAAAACCCTGCCTGTTAGTGACAATGCATTAATCTGTGTCAATGTGAGCGAAATAAATTAACTTTAAAGTAAATTTTATCTCGTCCTTTGAAAGAGATAAATACTATTTATCGTAGATATCTAGCGACAGACGGCGAGTCGCCGTGGCCGAGCGGCTAGACGCTCGTCGCGGATCGGAAAGTCGTGGGTTCGCTTCCTGGCGGAGCCAGACTTTTTCAAAAAATGACCTTGGCTCCCAGGTCGACCCAGCCTTGAGTGGGTACCTAGTGCAGTTCCGGGAAAGTAAAGGCGGCCGGCGTGATGCTTACCACATTACCTATCTAGTGCCGATTGGTCTATAAAAATATAGGTCTAGCCCTACATGCCCTATACGCCTAACGGCGTGGAAAAGGGCCCTTTACTACTTTACTTTTTTTACTTCTAGCAACAGACAGGATAAGTGGTAAAGTAAAAAATAAAAGTAAAGATCTCTTTTCACGCCTTTTAGACGCATCGAGCATATGGGAAGAATACCGACATATTTTACAGACCAATCGGGGCTAGGTGGGTAATGTGGTCAGCATTTCGCCGGCCGTCTTTACTACAGGATAATTATTCTACACTAATTAGCTGGAGATGTCAACATTTGAATCCACCTTTCTTACGGCGCAGAACCAATTAATTCAGCCGAACCATTTGCGAGTTTAAAAAAATTAAGCAACCCCCATGTGGTTTTCATTTTTATTTTTTTTTTTATTTTTAACCTCCACCCGGGCTTTTGGCTAATGCCCTAAAAATAGCCGGGCCATAAATATGGCCTAACGGCTGAACAGGGTTTCTGGGTCCTCTTCACGGGGGATCCTCATCTGCATGGTGGCACTATGTGTCACCAGGTGTTTATCGCTTGTGTGATGTCCTGACAGGGTACAACTTACCTACCTACCATCTGCGAGTAAAAGAGGATATGTGCCAGTCTAATAGTTTAGTAATTTACAAAATTAATAAGCAGAACATTTTACACATCGTTTTATTTATCAAGTAGCGCTAGACGCTCGTCTGCGAAACTGAAAGTCGTCGATTCAGGTCCTGGCGGAACCGAACTTTCTTCAACAATTACTATGGCTCCCAGGTCGACACAGCTTTGAGTGGGTAACAGGTACAGACCTGGGGAGTAAAGGCGGCGAGCATGATGTTGACCACATCACCCACCAATTGCCGTTTGGTCTTCAAAATATAGGTCTTTGGCTATACGTCCAATACGCTTGAAGTAGTGGAAAGGGAACTTTACTTTTACTTTATCTAACATGCAGGAATACAATCAGCTATGAAGTGAGTAGCATGAAATAGATGACAACATCTTCTTCTTCTTCTTTTCCTCGGTTCCTTCTTCTTATTCTTGCCAGTGTGCATATCTCTACATGTTGTACCGGTGATTGTTGTGTCATGTGTATGTGAGTGCTATATTTGTGAATGTAGTGCTTTGTCTGTTTCTGTGGTGTGCCTGTGTGTGTGTTAATGTTGTGACTGCATGTGTGTATGCTGTGTCTGTGTCTCTATGTATTTTTTCTGTGAGTGTTGAGTTAAGCGTAAGAATCCTAAATCTTTGAATGTTGTGCCTGCGAGCGTTGTGTCTGTGAGTGTTGTGTCTGTGAGTGTTGTGTCTATGTCGGTGTTGTGTCTGTGAGTGCTATGTCTGTGAGTGTTGTGTCTGTGAGTGCTGTGTCTGTGAGTGTTGTGTCTGTGAGTGCTGTGTCTGTGAGTGCAGTGTCTGTAAGTGCTGTGCCTGCGAGCGTTGTGTCTGTGAGTGTTGTGTCTGTGAGTGTTGTGTCTGTGAGTGTTGTGTCTGTGAGTGTTGTGTCTGTGAGTGTTGTGTCTGTGAGTGTTGTGTCTGTGAGTGTTATGTCTGTGAGTGCTGTGTCTGTGAGTGCAGTGTCTGTGAGTGTTGTGTCTGTGAGTGCTGTGTCTGTGAGTGCAGTGTCTGTGAGTGTTATGTCTGTGAGTGTTTTGTCTGTGAGTGCAGTGTCTGTGAGTGTTATGTCTGTGAGAGTTGTGTCTGTGAGTGCAGTGTCTGTGAGTGTTATGTCTGTGTGTGTTGTGTCTGTGAGTGCAGTGTCTGTGAGTGTTATGTCTGTGAGTGTTGTGTCTGTGAGTGTTGTGTCTGAGAGTACTGTGTCCGTGAGTGCTGTGTATGTGTCGGTGTTGTGTCTGTGAGTGCTGTGTCTGTGAGTGCTGTGTCTGTGAGTGCAGTGTCTGTGAGTGTTGTGTATGTGTCGGTGTTGTGTCTATGAGCGTTGTGTCTGAGAGTACTGTGTCTGTGAGTGCTGTGTATGTGTCGGTGTTGTGTCTATGAGTGCTGTGTCTGTGAGTGCTGTGTCTGTGAGTACTGTGTCTGTGAGTGCTGTGTCTGTGTCGGTGTTGTGTCTGTGAGTGCTGTGTCTGTGAGTGCTGTGTATGTGTCGGTGTTGTGACTATGAGTGCTGTGTCTGTGAGTGCTGTGTCTGTGAGTGCTGTGTCTGTGATTACTGTGTCTGTGAGTGCTGTGTCTATGAGTGCTGTGTCTGTGAGTGCTGTGTCTGTGAGTGCTGTGTCTGTAAGTGCTGTGTCTGTGAGTGCTGTGTCTGTGAGTGTTGTGTCTGTGAGTGCTGTGTCTGTGAGTGTTGTGTCTGTGAGTGTTGTGACTGTGAGTGCTGTGTCTGTGAGTGCTGTGTCTGTGAGTGCTGTGTCTGTGAGTGCTGTGTCTGTGAGTGCTGTGTCTGTAAGTGCTGTGTCTGTGAGTGTGTCTGTGAGTGTTGTGTCTGTGAGTGTTGTGTCTGTGAGTGTTGTGTTTGTGAGTGTTGTGTCTGTGAGTGTTGTGTCTGTGAGTGCTGTGTCTGTGAGTACTGTGTCTGTGAGAGCTCTGTCTATGAGTGCTGTGTCTGTGAGTGCTGTGTCTGTAAGTGCTGTGTCTGTGAGTGTTGTGTCTGTGAGTGTTGTGTCTGTGAGTGTTGTGTCTGTGAGTGTTGTGACTGTGAGTGTTGTGTTTGTGAGTGCTGTGTCTGTGAGTGTTGTGACTGTGAGTGTTGTGTCTGTGAGTGCTGTGTCTGTGTCGGTGTTGTGTCTGTGTAGGTGTTGTGCCTGTGGGTGTGTTGGTGTTGTGACTGCGTGAATGTGCTATTTCAGTAAATGTTGTGTCAATGAGGGTTGCTGCTGTGTAAGTGCTGTGTCTCTGTGTACATGTTGTTCCTTTTAGTGTGCCTGTTCCTGTGTATTTTGTGTCTATTTATTGTTGTGCCTGTGTGTATACTGTTTCCGTGTGAGTGTCTTGTCTGTGTGTGCGTGTTTTGTTCTGTGTGAGAGTATGTTGTGTTTTTGTGAGGGCTGTGTCTGTGGCTGTTCCGTCTGTGTGAGTGTTGTGCATATGAGGCTTTTTGAGAGTAATGTGTCTGTGAGCGTTGTGTCAGTGAGTGTAGTGTCGGTGAGTGTTGTATCTGTGAGTGTAGTGTCGGTGAGTGTAGTGTCGGTGAGTGTTGTGTCTGTGAGTGTAGTGTCGGTGAGTGTACTGTCGGTGAGTGTTGTGTCTGTGAGTGTTGTGTCTGTGAATGTAGTGTCGGTGAGTGTAGTGTCGGTGAGTGTTGTGTCTGTGTGTGTAGTGTCGGTGAGTGTTGTGTCTGTGAGTGTAGTGTCTGTGAGTGTTGTGTCTGTGTGTGTTGTGTCTGTGTGTGTAGTGTCGGTGAGTGTAGTGTCGATGAGTGTAGTGTCGGTGAGTGTAGTGTCGGTGAGTGTTGTGTCTGTGAGTGTAGTGTCTGTGAGTGTTGTGTCTGTGAGTGTTGTATCATTGAGTGTTGTGTCAGTGAGTGTAGTGTCGGTGAGTGTTGTGTCAGTGAGTGTAGTGTCTGTGAGTGTTGTGTCAGTGAGTGTTGTGTCAGTGAGTGTAGTGTCGGTCAGTGTTGTGTCTGTGAGTGTTGTGTCTGTGAGTGTTGTGTCAGTGAGTGTTGTGTCAGTGAGTGTAGTGTCGGTGAGTGTTGTATCAGTGAGTCTTGTGTCTGTGAGTGTTGTGTCTGTGAGTGTTAAGTCAGTGAGTGTTGTGTCAGTAAGTGTTGTGTCAGTGAGTGTAGTGTCAGTGAGTGTTGTGTTAGTGAGTGTAGTGTCAGTGAGTGTTGTGTCTGTGAGTGTTGAGTCAGTGAGTGTTGTGTCAGTGAGTGTAGTGTCAGTGAGTGTTGTGTCAGTGAGTGTAGTGTCGGTCAGTGTTGTGTCAGTGAGTGTTGTGTCTGTGAGTGTTGAGTCAGTGAGTGTTGTGTCAGTGAGTGTTGTGTCAGTGAGTGTAGTGTCAGTGAGTGTTGTGTCAGTGAGTGTAGTGTCGGTCAGTGTTGTGTCAGTGAGTCTTGTGTCTGTGAGTGTAGTGTCGGTGAGTGTTGTGTCAGTGAGTGTTGTGTCAGTGAGTGTAGTTGTAATAAATCTTGGTCTACTTGAAATGAAGCGTGGTCTGCTTGGAATGAGTCGATGCTACACTTGGAATGAACCTTGACGTAGACCTGACATGTACCTTGATTTACACCAACTTTAACGTCTAGGGTTGACAACACAAACGCCGCTCAGCTTCTTGGTACATTCTGTCAGTTTATTCTCGTCCATTTATTTCACATGTTCAACACATTATTCACATTTATTTCACTCGCGACATTTTCGAACATTAAACATTTGCGCAACATAAAGACGACATCTTCAAATACTACAACCGTCTTCTCTGACTTCTGATGATCGACTGACCACGAGGCTAGCTCGGGCTTCGCCTCGCTTACTCCACCGGCCACAAGTATCTCGTGCCGTCACTTGTAGCACGGACTTCCTGCTTGCCACAATGTACTCGTGGAGACCATGCAAAGCAGGGTCATCACACTCTCCCCCCTTTTTAACAAAATGACACTTTATGGAACATCAAGTGTCATTTTCATTTGACCAAATATAATAAATCAATTTAATTGTATTCCCACTAGGGATTATGGTTCCTGATTATCCTCAATTACTGCCCTTTAAAACTGCCTTCAATATTTACTGCATGCTTTTCCTAGTACTGAGCTGGTGAAGAGTTTAAACCATCTTTACACCTATTGCATCTGTAGTAGTCTAGTCACTATATCTACTCTATCGGGTTTAAAGTGAAATGATAGTGATGATGATTGTCAGCTTTGAGATATTTATTACATAGAAAATTGGATTCAACCAATATTTCTACATCACCTTTCACAGGGTGTTAAACCCCAAGGACTCTTAGCCGATATGATAGTGGTAAGATATATTTAACATAGTGCTTCTAGTTTCCCAAAAGCTCTATAACACCTTTTACAGGGTAATTACCCAACCCCAAGGAATTTACCACAGAAAAAAAAAATGCATGTTGAGATATTTTTTCATAGACCAAAGTCTCACCTTTCACAGAGTAATTACCCAACTCCAAGGAATCCAACATGAAAACAATGATAATTGAGATATATTTTTCATAGATCTTAGAGTTTCCTCCAAGTCTATAACCACCTTTAACAGAGTATTCAACTCCAAGGAATCTCAGATGAAATGATGACTAATGGGATGATTTTTAATAGAGTTTAGGGTTTCCCCACCAGTCTCTACATCACCTTTAACAGAGTATTTAACTCCAAGGAATCCCACACACCTTTTACCCCTTTTAAATGGACACAGATGAGTTCAACTCCTCTACTGTGCTTGTGCTTTAATGTGTGCACTTTTTCTTTACCATCAGTATGTCTATTCAGCATCAGTATAATTATAGCCGTTCCTAATCTTGGGTGTGATGGACAACTTTAGCATGTCCCTGTGCTGTGTACCTATGCCAAAACATTTCAAATTAAATATTTTTATCAAAGTCATTCTGTGGAAAAAGATTTCTATGTGATCTATCACTAAATCTTGATCTAATTCTTCTGTGCTGTTCCTGGGGAGAGAGATTTTTTTTTTTCTAACTTTTGAACTAATGTCATTACATGAATCCTAAAATAATCCTAATGAACTACTAACCTAAGTAAATATGTACACTATTAAAATACTACCCACAAATCTTTCATTCATCATTCATACCTGTTTTATTCTCTTTCATTCCCATTCATTCCATTAACTATCCTTGATCTTGATCCATCCCTGCAGGCTGTGTGTCTTGCTTGTACACTGGCGCTTGCTTTCCAGGTTCTCATTCCTTGGTTTGCTCAACAGTCTATTCTGCTCTTGGGTCTTTCATGGTAGGATAGCTGGTAATCTTGGAAATATACTGACTAAAAATATTATAATTTTATAAGTTAACACAATACTATTAACAGTGTTCAGTGACTGCATACACTGATATGCCACCTTTAAAATAATTAGCAATGGGATTAAACGGAAGGTGTTCAATACACACAGTATATGGCTGCTTTTTATAAATGAAATCAGGTGTTTATGCACTTTTTTAAAATACTTCATTAATTTAATATTTACACAAACAAAATAATTAACTTGTTTAACTTTCACAATTAATATTTGTGTACACACGATGTAATACTGACATTTTTGTGGCTGTTGATTGTGCTTAAACTGTAGGAATGCTTCATTATTCTCGCATTCTTTATTTTATGATACGTTTAGTATTCGACGATCTTGATATTGTATAGATGCTCTTGAAGTGTCGATGAATTTGCTGATTTTGAGATATTTCAATCGTTGATTTTGAGGTGTCTGGAGAAAAAATTTCGTGTTCCTTGATGGTGATTTTCAGGTTTGAATAATTCAGTGGCTGATATGTTTCTGTTCATTCACTGTACAGTACTGGTTGGTGATTTCTGAATTTGGTTGAAATATAAGAATCTTGAAGGTGAAGAATGGGAAAATATCAATTCTTGATGATTGTTCAGGTTTTGGTTGTAGGTAGTTCTATGTAGCTTCCTGACTGATAATAATCTTGAACTTTATACATGGTGATATGTTAGCTTGATGTTGATAATCAGGATGATGGACTGTATAGTTTCATGTTCGTAAATAGTGATACTTCAGTTGATGGTACTTTTCCTTGCATCAGCTGTTATTTTTGTTGATAGAGATGACTTTGTTCCCAGACTCGAATGTCTTCATCAGAACAGTCTCTTATGTTGAAGTCTTTGTATCCCAGAATCAGATCTGTTCCGATGTCGTACATTACTACTTTTAATGGTCTTGATATATAGGGCGACTTCAAATAAATATAAGCTGTCCGTAATCGCATCAAAAAATCTTCTCTGTCTAAACAGTAAATCATGTCTTCGCTTAAATCTGATTTTTCTATAAATTTTTCACGAACCAAAGTGATATTTGATTTTTTATTTAATTGCATTTGTGCTGGTTTGTTGTTTATCAAACATTTAGTTGACTTTTCACGATATTTTTTACTTGTTGCTATGTGGAATTGATCATAATCTATATATTTATTGTCCTCTAAGAATGAAAATTCTTTATTCATGGCTTGTCTATCCAGTGGTATTTCACAATCTGGCTGTTTCATACATTGAGTTTCTTTTGTCTCGACTGATGTCATTGTTGGAACAGTGATATCCTTTGCTTGATTAATTTTCATTGTTTCTGAGTTTGACTTTTTCTCTGTTTCAGTGGCTGTTGTCTTTTTGGATTCACTTTTGTTGCTCGTATTACTTTTGCTGGATTCTAATTCTGCAATGATGATTTCGTTCTTTATCTTTTTAGTTCCTGGACATATTATTTGGTATGTTCCTATCCAAATTGTATGTGGCTCTGTTGTTTTTCTCTGTTTTTTCCTCCAGTCGCATACTGCACAATCTTGAGTAGGTGACGTAAGAGCTTCTGAATCCATTCTTTCTTGCTTAGTTTTTGCATACCAGGATCTTTTGTCTTTTAACATCTGTTTTCCAACACAGTGTTTTACAATATGTCCAAATGCTGAGCAAAAATGGCATTTTTTAGGGTTGTTGTTTTGTTTATTTTGCCACTTTTTATTGACCAAGTCTTCAATATAGCTTGAATATTTAGGATCTCTGTCGCAGATAGTTGAAGAATTGTGCAGGTACTTACAAAAAATGCACATCTTGATCTTCTGGTTACTTATCGATGTATCTTTCATTGTTGTCGCTGATAATACTTGCGACAAAGCGTTCTTATGTTTTACCAACCTTTTATTTACACGCCATTCTGATAAACGCACAATCGATGCAAAAAATGTCACCGTAGTAAGAAAACTGATCGTAACTATAAATAGAATTAGTTCATAGTCCACTAGTTTCCGCGAAACAATAATGGTCACAAACCTGATTTAATTCATAAACTAGATTTAACATATTTCTGATGTGTAGCACTAGTGAACATGAAACTTCTTGAATCCACAAACCTTGGTAATACGATGTGTGGTGGCAGGCAGGACGTTGATGACACACAACTATGTTGACGTGTGTTCCATGGTACACTGTTTTTCATTGGTTGGCAGCTGACCTGTCGCAGGTTGCTGTGTTTAAAGGCTCTGCTCGGGTTAAAGCGATGTATCGTACACTGTTTTCCGCATGTTTGTCTTACCTTGGAAAAAACAAAATGTTTTCCTAATGATTGTGGTCCGTGTGGTTCTCAAATTTTCTTCGGACGAGCCTCCATTTGTAATAAACCTTGGCTTGACTTGGACTGCGCTTTGGCTTACTACTTATTGGCTTTAGCCACGGCTCACTCTCTGGATGTTACTGCTACACAACTTGCACTACTTTAACGCGAGAGGTCCCGGGTTCAAATCCCGGACGAGCCCCCACTTGTAATATATCTTGGTCTACTTGAAATGAACCTTGACGTATACTTGAAATGAGTCAATGCTACACTTGGAATGAACCTTGACGTAGACCAACTTTAACGTCTAGGGTTGACAACACAAACGCCGCTCAGCTTCTTGGTACATTCTGTCAGTTTATTCTCGTCCATTTATTTCACATGTTCAACACATTATTCACATTTATTTCACTCGCGACATTTTCGAACATTAAACATTTGCGCAACATAAAGACGACATCTTCAAATACTACAACCGTCTTCTCTGACTTCTGATGATCGACTGACCACGAGGCTAGCTCGGGCTGCGCCTCGCTTACTCCACCGGCCACAAGTATCTCGTGCCGTCACTTGTAGCACGGACTTCCTGCTTGCCACAATGTACTCGTGGAGACCATGCAAAGCAGGGTCATCACAGTAGTGTCAGTGAGTGTTGTGTCAGTGAGTGTTGTGTCAGTGAGTGTTGTGTCAGTGAGTGTTGTGTCAGTGAGTGTTGTGTCAGTGAGTCTTGTGTCTGTGAGTGTAGTGTCGATGAGTGTTGTGTCAGTGAGTGTTGTGTCAGTGAGTGTAGTGTCAGTGAGTGTTGTGTCAGTGAGTGTAGTGTCAGTGATTGTTGTGTCAGTGAGTGTTGTGTCAGTGAGTGTAGTGTCAGTGAGTGTTGTGTCAGTGAGTGTTGTGTCAGTGAGTGTTGTGTCAGTGAGTGTTGTGTCAGTGAGTCTTGTGTCTGTGAGTGTAGTGTCGGTGAGTGTTGTGTCAGTGAGTGTTGTGTCAGTGAGTGTAGTGTCAGTGAGTGTTGTGTCAGTGAGTGTTGTGTCAGTGAGTGTTGTGTCAGTGAGTGTAGTGTCGGTGAGTGTTGTGTCAGTGAGTGTTGTGTCGTTGAGTGTTGTGTCAGTGAGTGTAGTGTCGGTGAGTGTTGTGTCAATGAGTGTAGTGTCGGTGAGTGTTGTATCAGTGAATGTAGTGTCAGTGAGTGTTGTGTCAGTGAGTGTAGTGTCGGTGAGTGTTGTGTCAGTGAGTGTTGTGTCAGTGAGTGTAGTGTCGGTGAGTGTTGTGTCAGTGAGTGTTGTGTCAGTGAGTGTTGTATCAGTGAGTGTTGTGTCAATGAGTGTAGTGTCGGTGAGTGTTGTATCAGTAAGTGTTGTGTCAGTGAGTGAAGTGTCAGTGAGTGTTGTGTCAGTGAGTGTTGTGTCAGTGAGTGTTGTGTCAGTGAGTGTTGTGTCAGTGAGTGTTGTGTCAGTGAGTGTAGTGTCGGTGAGTGTTGTGTCAGTGAGTGTTGTGTCGTTGAGTGTTGTGTCAGTGAGTGTAGTGTCGGTAAGTGTTGTGTCAATGAGTGTTGTATCAGTCAATGTAGTGTCGGTGAGTGTTGTGTCAGTGAGTGTAGTGTCGGTGAGTGTAGTGTCGGTGAGTGTTGTGTCAATGAGTGTAGTGTCGGTGAGTGTTGTATCAGTGAATGTAGTGTCGGTGAGTGTTGTGTCAGTGAGTGTAGTGTCGGTGAGTGTTGTGTCAGTGAGTGTAGTGTCGGTGAGTGTTGTATCAGTGAGTGTTGTGTCAGTGAGTGTTGTATCAGTGAGTGTTGTGTCAATGAGTGTAGTGTCGGTGAGTGTTGTATCAGTGAGTGTTGTGTCAGTGAGTGTAGTGTCAGTGAGTGTTGTGTCAGTGAGTGTTGTATTAGTGAGTGTTGTATTAGTGAGTGTTGTGTCAGTGAGTGTTGTGTCAGTGAGTGTTGTGTCAGTGAGTGTTGTGTCAGTGACTGTAGTGTCGGTCAGTGTTGTGTCTGTGAGTGTTGTGTCAGTGAGTGTTGTGTCAGTGAGTGTTGTGTCAGTGAGTGTTGTGTCAGTGAGTATTGTGTCAGTGAGTGTTGTGTCGGTGAGTGTAGTGTCGGTGAGTGTAGTGTGTGTGAGGGATGTTATGTCTGGGTTAGTGCGTGTGTGTGTGTGAGTGTGGTGTCTGTATGTGCCATGTCTCTATGTAACGATGGGATTTCCTAAGTGGTTTCCCGACTATCCTCCGAATTACGGTCGGTAAACATGGCGGCCGCAAAATATTCTTTCGAGCCACAGTCACGTGACCTTATTTGCGGTTCTCTCCTGACTACTGCCACGGCTACGAGTCCCCAACGCCGCTCACTCGGAGTGGATTGGGGCTAAACTAGATGGCTAGGACTCAAGAGCAAAGCTTCATGATTCTCTGTATGGTTGTTTCTGTGGTATTATATCTGTGTCATGTTGTACCTGTATATTGTTGCTTCTGTGGATTGTTGTTTCTGTGTATTGTTGTTTCTGTGCGTGTATTGTATTTGTTTGTGTTGTTTCTGTGAATTTGTGTCTACATGTGAGTGTATGCTCTGTATGTGTGCATACTATGTTGCTTCGGGTGTGAGTGCCTTCAAGGTTGTGTTTCTGAGTGCGTGTTTCTATGTGTTTGTATGTTTTGTACCTGTGTGTTGTCTGTGATTATGAATACATGCTGTGCGCGTGTGTGTTTGTGTGTGTGTGTGTGTTGTCAGTATGTACATGTCTGCGTGTATTGTGAATGTGTTATTGTGCTTGCCTAGGTATGCATTTTTCATCCATGTTTTTTTTTTAACAGTACGTTTATACTTTAAATGTTATTTATATGAATATAATATACGTTATATTCTTATTCTTCATTTGTGTTTATCCAAAGATGGTATACGTTGTGGACGTTTTCAGCATATCTGTGTTATTTGCACATTTCGGCCGACACATCCGACTTCTGCAGGCGTTCGTTGACCCTGTTGGCCTTCCCGGATAGTTTTGATATATAAATTACAATTGTCGTAGAAATTATGAATGCTTGTAAGTAGGGCTGTACCTAATAATGATGACCAACTATTCGGCCGAATACGAATAGTGTACAGTGCATGAGATATATCTAAAAAAAAAAAAAAAAGAAACATCCATAATGTCAAATGTATGTTGAACTTTTACTTCATATAAAGTAGCACAGAATAGTCATCTTATCCTTTAGCATTCTGAGCCCTTGAGATTTACTGCTGCAGATATCACTCGTCTCCATTCATCTCTCTGGCTGACCTTATCTTCACAATTTGTGACACCAGTTGTTTGCAGGTCTGGCTGGACATTATCTCTCGAACTTTTTTTTTTTTATCTGCCTCGTGGTCTACGTCCATTCCTCTCTCAGGTGTATACAGTTTTACTTCTCTGTCTTCTTAAATTCTTTCAATATGCCCCAACCATTTTAGTCTGTTAGCTCTCATGATGCCAGTGATCAGTGGTGATTTAAACAGATTATGTGTTACGTTGTTGCTTATCACTCTCTATTCCCCGCTGTTAGCATCTTTGATGGGTCCAAAGATTTGTCGTAAGACTGTTTTCGAAAGCCTATAATAAGGCTTCATCTCTTTTAGTTGTGCTCCAAGTCTCATAAAACGACTGGTTTTATCAACGTTTCATATATTTTGATCTTGGTGTTGCGAGACAGACACTTTGACTTTAGCAGCTGTTGAAGGGCATAGTATACTTTATTTTTAGATTGTATTCTAGATTGTATTTCTTCTCTCAGCATTTTGGAGCAGTTGAAGTTTGCACCCAAGTACTTATATGTTTTTGTTCGTTTGATTTTCATATTATCGACTTGGATGTAGCCGAAGTTTACATTTTTTTCATGTCTAGTTAGTATAATAAAGGAATCCGAAGTATTGTATCAAGTAACTAAACATTGGAAATTGTCACTGACAGCTTAGTTAATGCAGGATAGCTGTATTAACTTTCAACGCACCCAATCGTTCCATGTTCTTAGTATTAAGGCCGTGTATGCAAAAGCGCGTGTAAGGTAACTACTATTCGCACTCGGCCCGACCGCAACTATTCGGCAGAATACTAAATATTCAATAGGTCCACTATTCGGTCCCGAAGGGAATACGAAGCGAATATTCGGGACAGCCCTACTTGTTAGGACCCAATGTAAGACGGGTCTGAGTGCCCAATTTGTAGACTTTTAAAAATAAAGTCCGTTTGTTCGTTCTTCTTCTTTTTTTCCTTTTTCTTTTTCTTTTTCTTCTTTCTTTCCTCCTCTACTTCTTTCTCTCATCCTCTCTCTTCTTCTGCCCAGACATCTTAATTTTCTCAATAGCTTCTTAAGAGAAACAACAAATTTTCCCAGTTATCAATATTCTCAGCTCATATGTTATTCAGTCAAAAAAATTCATCACTGAGCGTTTTCTGTGTGTTTTAACAGGGAACTAATTTTCATCTTCAGTCTCTCTACCTTAACTAAATCGTTATGAAACATTAATCTAACTAATCTGTTAATTTAAATTTACCCATCACAGTTCAAAGTTAAAACTAGAGTAGAGAGGTTTGATATTATTGCACCGAATCACCCCATATGGCTAGGTCTCTTTCACTGCGGCAATCACGTTTACCGGGTTTATTTTCCTAGGCATTATCTGGTACCCATCTGAGGCTAGGTCCCCTTAGGATCCAGATTGATTTGTGAAAACATGTCCTTTATCTGAGGTTGCCTAAGCCCTCAGTCTCCCCCCCCCCCCCCCCCCCCCCCCCCCCCCGCACCCAGCACCTTTGAGCAGGCAGGCTTGCCTATAACCAGTCTGTTAGCTCGGAATTTCCGAATAGTTTGTATTGGCGGTCGGCTCAGTGGCTGAGTCGATGCGAACGCTTCGTAACGCCGAGATGCCGGGTTCGATTCCATCTGCGGGCCATGCGCCTTGCGTTGGTTTCGACAGTGGTATCAAACTACTGGACGAAAATACGCCTTTAAAAAAAAACCACATAACAGTCAGATGTTTGAGTTGGTTCTGCAACGTCCTGTAAAAGATACGCAATTAACCTTTTATTGGCGGAATTTGTCTTTATTTTTATTTGCAAAGATTCTTTCAATCTGAACGTTTTTCAGCGTTCTAAAGATAAACGAGATTGCTTCCCAGAAATTAGAAGACGCTTTCGGTGAAGCAGTACGAAGAGCTTATAAGGCCACATAAGTAAACACCGCAAGAACAAATAAACACCCTCCCTCCTCCCTCCCCCCCCCCCCCCCCCCCCCCCCCCCTTTTTTATGATTTTTTCTTCTTTTTTCTAAAATTGTGGAATTTTGTTTTTATTTTTATTATTTTACATTAGATGAAAATTTATACATTTCTGCACGCAATAATGCATGTCTTGTTACCTAATTCAATCTCTAAAAAAAAATATAATTATTTTTTTTATTATTGGTATCGTAAATGTTAACCTAACTATTTAAGTATTTTCACATTTCATAGATTAAATCAAACACTGGAAGAGCAGCTGAATAAGGAAGAAAATCGGATAAGAAGGTAAAAAGCGCAGAACAAAGTATTCATATAGCTGACAAATATCCTAAGGAAGATTTGTAAGCAGCAGTAGGGGCTGAGTGGTCTCGAGATATGGTGTCCGTCTTGAGTGCTAGATGTTCCGGGTTCACTCTGGAGTAAAGGCTGGGATTTTTTCACATGCACTTGGACTTCTAGTAATTCTCCCTGGTCTCTGGGTAATGAGATCAGACGCCCGTGAGCATTGTTGCGCACGTAAAAAATCCCTTGGCAGTTGGATTTCAAAATAGTAGCCTAACGGCGCTGCCCGCGCAAAATGTGGAGTTAAAAATCTAGCCAAAGTATTTCTGAATCCTAGCTGGTGCTACAGAGCCTGGGCACTATGCTGAGCTTATTCGGACTCAGACTTGAGTTAGAAGAAGAACGTATCTCATATTGATTACTAACCGTGTGCCATGATGTTGATCCGTTGTTCAAAAACATCAAAAAATCTCTTATGCGGCAGGGACTCATTAGATAAGGGATTTTTGTGAAAAACAGCATGGTCAGTTTTGGTGCGTGATTTTTTTTTTCAAAATCCTGTTTTTGACATTTGTTAACTCACTGCATTGCGCACAATATCTCAAATCATTATTAACATGTTGTCTGGAAACAGCATTGATTGGCAATTTTCCGTCTTTCTAAACAATCGTGTTTTATTGCTCTGTGAGGAGGCATAGGGCTCATAGCCCATGGTAATGGCGAGTGTGACTAGCAAGACCCGTTCGTGTTAAGAAAAGTCTTCCACGATGATAGCATTAAACTTCAGGACTATTGTTGTCAACATTTGTGTTTAACCCGTTTCTTATCAAACGCTCAGCTCTCATCCTTTCTGTAATCATTTTTTCCTTCACTCTCATTTCCTTCCCGATGTGCCCTCTCCACACAACACGTCCAGGGCATTTTTCTCCCATGAATCCACCTTAGTATCTGTATCATTCATGCCGCGCTTGCACACATCTTTATACCGTAGTAGAGGTCGGCCTAGACATTTTCTACCCGTCTTAAATTTACCATAAAGAATGTCCTTAGGGACTCTACCCTCCTCCATTCTCCATTTGTTACCGAGCTACCTGAGCCTTCATAGACTGAGCATGAAACTTGGCATTCACATAGGAAAATAACACCGAAACAGACTTAACTATAATGAATACAGCAGCTAGAATACTTTATGAATTTGTATTATTTATGTTAGCCCCAAACCCTAATTTTTTTTAAAGAAAAAGAAAAAAAAAAATACTGTTCCACAAAATGAGTATAACTTTCAAACATCAGCTCAGAATGAAACGTATTTAATTAAATACTGTACATTTATATGCCAATTTTCATTAAGCATTGCTATCAGTTACTGAGAAATCCTTACATTTTCCGCATATTAACCATGCCGTCCCCATGTAGGATGCAATTTTTGTCGAAGGCCCTAAATATAGCCAGACCATTAAAATGGCCTAGAGGCTGAACGGGGTTTCTGGGACCTCTTCCGCATGATGAAACTTTGTGTCACCTGATGTTTTTCCACTTTGTGTTATGTCCTAGTTGGGTATAACTCACATACACACATAGATTTTCTGCATAATGTATAACATTTGTTTCAAATGACAACCAT